TAAGAGACAATGAAAATATTGACAATAGACAAAAATATGTTATAAAACATGGAAAATTTTATAACAATTGGTATTTATATTATTTTTAAAATATGAGTACAAAACCGAGTCTGAGGAATAGATAGAAACACGTCGTAGTATGGTGGGTGCGTAGGTTCTTCCCCTGGCTATCGTTTTCATTGCAAAACTTCGATCATTAAGCTCGACTCGAAATAGAAAAACTGACTTAAAAAACCTTTTGAATGTTAGAAAGAACAATTCGAGTAAAACATTTATTTACTTTTAGAATCTAAAATCGCAAAAAACAAAATATTTTAAATAGCACTTTACCGTTATGTTTGGTCCATGTCAAAACGTGTACCAGTATTAAATATATTTTTGTGGAGTCAAAATGACTCAAAACGACGGACAAAATCGAGTAATACTTCATGGGAGAAATACCAGAATTGTATATAAGAATACCGTTGATTTATAGCATCCTATGGGATCACCTTCGAATATTACCAATTGACGGTGAAGGTTTACAAATATTACAACATTTTAAGCATAATGTTAGTCTTATTTGTGATATTAGATATATGGAGATGCCAAAAAATTGTAATAACATCGTAATACGTTCGTGGAACGCTTTTTCGCAACATCCGACGTGGATTGTCGCGATAAGAGTGTATATTTGCCACCCCCATTCTCAGTTTCGAAGAATCGAAAAAAATGAACCTATAGGTTTTTTGGATGTCTTCTTAAAATTTCAAGTCTCAAAATCACAACCACTCTTCAAAATATTGCCGATTCATTGTGTCATTAACAGCATCAAGCGACGGCATAAGTGATTCTCAAACTTTAAACACGTTTTTCTCAAAACAGTGTTTAAATGGCGGGCACGATAACTTAAAAACTTATAATCATAGCTATCGTATGAACTAGCATAAATGTAATAGGTCAAGATTTCCTATTTCCTAGCATGGCTTTTGCTCGAAAATATTCGATTTTCCTAGGTCCATTATTCTGTTAATTTTCGAGCGAAGTCAATAATCCTAGTGCAAGTCAGAGCCAGATATGTACTCTATGTAAATTAGTTTAAATTTTGAGATTCGGATGTTCCAGTAATCGGCAATCATGCCCGACTTCGAAAAGACGGACTTTTCTTACATTACAAACACCAAAAACACAATTTTGCCAATTTATTTTCGTTTCAAAAGTCGAATAATGGTTCCGTGCGTATGAGACCATGAAAGAATCACTTCGAAGCAAATTATCGCCAGTTTCTTTGGCCAAACTGGCTGACTGTGACGTCTTTTTTTGGAAAAAAAGTAAAACTGTCAAAATGTGGTGATACACCTCAATCTGTTTGCCTGAAGCAGAGTTCCAAAATATTCACTCGAATTCGAATAGAGAGTAAAACTCGCGCGAATACAATCGATTCACTTTTGGAGTAAAATCTTACTCTATTTCGAATATTTTGACTCTCACTCTTATTTTTCAACAAGGAGATCTTTCTACGTCTCCAACATAGAAAGAAAAAGAAATATATTGTAAAAATCGATCTCTTCGAGTACCCCAATGAAATGATTTTTCTTGATTTGCGGGTCCATGATTTTCGTCGCCGGAGTTGAAAATATGTTCGAATGAAATAAACTGTTTTTGTACCCTCCACCATAAGACCACCATAAATATTCTTTATAAGTATTCTATGTCGATTTAGGGTTTTCCGTCTTTTGAAATCACGATAGAGCTCGCAATATTTAAGCTTTGAAATTTTGCACATACACATTGTAACAACTTCCGGGATGTTTGGTATTACAAATTGGATATATCACTGCACGATTTGGTATCGTCCCCCATAAAACGGTACCACCAAATATTCAGTATTTAGGGAATTTTTGACACATTTTTCATCCGAATTGTCGGTAATTGGGTATTATGTATTCTGATTGGGTTTCAAAACTTACTACTGAAAATTAGCAATGTCAATTCCCGTTTTTGTATAGCCCCATATAACGGTAGCCCACTATTCGGAATTTTGAAAATTTAACAAATATTTTTCTCGCATCTTTTTCGACTCCATTAACTTTAGTTTTGTTTCTAATGTCAACCCCTGCCGAATCTAACCCATTGTTATACACTCAGTCTTATTGCTAATGAGGGTATATACACTTTGATACGGTAAAAATGTGCCTCATCGAAATATTGGTTTTAGACCACATGTTTCTTTGGACCAAAGCAGTTTCGATTTAGCCATGTCCGTCTGTCTGTCTGGATGGTGCGCACGATAACTCTCGAAGGCAGCAACCAATTTCATTCAAACTTTGCACACATTAATATTTCTTCCAAACTTAGTTTAAGTTCGAAGATGGTTAATATCGGTCCACTTCTTCTGGTACCTCCCCCACAGAATGGTCAAAATTGTGCTACAAATTAATTTTATAATAACATGCATACGGATTGTCCGGTTTTAATGAAACTTTGTACAACATATTATCTTCACCAAGCCTAGATCAAGTAGGGAGATGGTACACTCCTCCTAATACCTCCCGCACAAATGGTCAAAATTTGCAATATTTGTAAATCCAATATCAGGCGAATGGAATGTCTGATGTGAACCAAACTTTGCACACCCCATTATATTTACGAAGTCTACATTAAGTCCGAAGATGGGGCCCATTGGTCCACTTCTTCTGGAACCTTCTCCAGGAATGGTCAAAATTTTCAATATTAAAAATGCAATATCAGTCGAATGGAATGTCATATTTCAACCAAACCTTACTCAACCTATTATCTTTACCAACCCTATAGCAAGTCCGAAGATGATACCCAGTAGTTGATAAAATTTATAAAATTTTCATATTTAGCGCAGGAATATATAAAGTAGCCATCGTAATAAGGTCTTTCAAAATCTTCCCCTTACATTAACCCATTACAAGATTCTATAGTACGAATACTTAAATATCAACACACGGGTTCCTTTTATTAATTTTCATACAGCTATATTATGAATTTTCAGATCAGCTTCCCTATCTCTATTCTGAACCACAACATTAGTACAATGATTCGAAATCCTAACACTGAAATCTACGCCTTAATTATTGGCCGAATTTAAAAATTTATTATTTCCTTTTAGTACCTTTCGTACCAATTTAATAGTACGAATGGGCAAATTTTTATTTAGTGTTATTTTTCGAAATATGTTCTTTTTCATAGTAAGCTTGCATTCTTTTTCCTCAGAATTATTAAAATCCTCATAATATTTTTATATGAATTGTGATATGATTTCCTTTTTTGATGTCGGTTTACGAAGTGTGTCCTATTTTATATTTTAATTATATCCTGAGGGCCCTATGTACCCTAAAACGTCATTAACTAAAAGTAATATGGAATCGGCCCAAATAAGATCCTTGTGGATATATCAAAATGTGAAATTTTAGTAGATATATAGTATAGAATCACTATCTATCTGAAAACATCAGTTCGTTATTATATCCATTTCTGACCCACTGTGTAATTTCAAATTAAAATATTCATTCCAAGCGATTATGATATGTCAATTTAACAATAAAAATAAGTTGTGCATGCCATAAGCTTTACATCACCTACCAACTTGATACAACAAACATGAATAGTTTACACGTACAAAAACAAAAACAACAACTAATTTTAAAATGCGTGTTGCATGTTGCTGCCGGTCTTTTAACATTTATTACTACAACAACAAACCATAACTTTTAAAGGATAACAACCTAGTCTAAATAAAAGCGAAGTACTTATGCCATACCTACTCGTTAGTAGTTGTAATAATAGCACGGTTAGTTGCGTGTCTATTGACGCGTCAAGTGTGTTGTGTGTGTAAAGCATGCCCAACCTGACTAATGATGGTGCTGATAAAGTCGGCTGGATTTCAATGCATGTTTTAGGTTTTGTTAGGTGTTATTATTTGTTGAACTCTGGAAAAATTTAAATAAAATAAAATTCCAACAACAATCACACCCATGGTGTAATTTGCTGTTTAATGCGTGTGTTCTTGCCACCAAATGGCGTGTCAGTTTTTTTTTTTTTTTTTTGGAGGGATATATTCTACACATATTTGCATAGATTTTATACATGCAATTTGCTTGCAAAAGATTCTATAGAATTTCCATGTCCTTTGTTCTCTCTTGTTTTTGGATATGGGAGGGTGTTTGAGTTCACATATGCTGGGGCAAAATAATTGTTTAGGCAGTAGATTGGCACGAAATATTTAGTTGTTTGTTAAACTGCTAGTGTTCAAATATTTGGATAGAGTAGGAATTTTGACATCGATAGGCATGCCATATCGATTGCCTATAGGTTGCTTTCTCTCTGTGTGCGACAGAATAGAGAATATATTTTTGGTATGTACATATATATTGAAGTGTTTCTGGGTCTCTTATATATCGATCGAACGATCTACATAAGGTTTTCGATCATTACATGAAAATCTTCTATAGATAGACCGATACGAGGACTTTCAGCTTACGAATAATCCATAAATATATTTCAACAACAATTCATTAAACATCCACGCTTCTTAAAGTTCATCTTGAAGTTTATTAATTAGAAATCCACGCCTCTATTAAGGCCTCTTTAGAAATCCACGCCTCTATTAAGGCATCTTTAGAAATCCTCGCTTCTATTGAGGCATCTTTAGAAATCCACGCCTCTATTAAGGCATCATTAGAAATCCATGCCTTTACTAAGACCTCAAAAAATAATTCTTTCAAAATCCACGCCTCTATTAAGGCGTCTTTAGAAATCCATGCCTTTACTAAGGCCTCAAAAAATAATTCATTAGAAATCCATGCCTTTACCAAGGCCTCGAAAAATAACTCTTTAGAAATCAACGCCTCTATTAAGGCCTATTAAGATAATTCCATAAAAATCCATATCTCTATCATAAAAAATTCACGCCTCAGACTTTTTTTAAAACTTTAAGTTACGCCTCTTTTGAATAACTCTTTAAAAATCATTTCCTTTTGTCCTTTTTCTAGATGTCAAACGTTGGCGAATAGCCGCCAATAACGAATCGACATTGATGACTGACAGTAACAGCTGTTTAGACGTTATGCCACCTGCCACAAACGATTCAGATTCAATGTTTGCCTCAACCTCGTCAGCAGCAGCTGCAGGTGTGGCAAGACATCATTGCACTAGTCAAAATTACAAAATGATGCCGTCATGCAACATGGAACACCAGCATCCACAGCAGCAACAGCATCATCATCACCATTCACATAATCATCAGTGTGGAGGAGTAGGAGGACATCATCAGCAGGCTATGTCTCAACAGCATCATTTGCATCACCATAATCATATGCCACCGCAGCAGCAGCAACATCACCACCATCATCATCAGCATCAACAACAGCGACCACAACCTGTGATAACAAACTGTTATAACAACAACAACAGTAGCAACAACAATATGATAGCCATGGAAAATGGCAGCAGGCCATGGTGCAAAGATAATGGAATAATGTCCAGTGCACCACATCAACAACATCATGAACATGGAAATGGAGCGGTTCCATGGTCATCACAGCTAAATACAAAAACAATGTCCGATGGAAATATGTGTCCACATCAACATCATCACCGACAGGACCAACAACAGCAGCAGCATCATCATCATCACCAGCAACAGCATCACCATTGTTCAGAATTTAATAACAATGATGACCAGAAACCATGTCTCTTCAAGGACGAGCTAAATGAGTTTCTCCAGCATCAAAATGAAATGGTGCACAATTCCATGGTGGATAGCCACCAACATCCACATCATCATCATCTCCACCATAGTCATGATTATGATCATAGTGAGGATGACGGAGATGATGATGTTGAGGGGGAAGGGGATGAAGAAGACCCAGAGGACGAAGATGATGGTCAGGTTAGTGCTTTGAATGAAGTGGATAATGATTTTGGACATGGTGGACATGATGATGGACATCATATGGAAGATACAAACGATGATGATGATGCGGAGGAAGACGACGATGATGATCACGGAACCCATGGATTGTTGCATTTAAAATCTACTCAGCAATGTTTAGATTTCCTGCAAGGAGATTTGGGTATGGATCTTGGAATGGGAGAGGAACAACATCATCATAATGAGGATGGTGGTATGCAAATAAAATCGGAAGAATGTCCGGAACCTCCGGAGGAATCAAATGCTGCGGAAGATAATGAGGATATTCTCAAACAAATGGAAGGTGATAATGAAGAAGACGACGATGATGATAATGAAGACGAGGGAGAAGGGGAAGGAGATGAGGATGATGAAGAGGACGACGACGAAGAGGAAGATGAAAATCATGAAGAATTGGGTGATGCAATGGCCAGCCATATGCAACAACCCATGGAACAGACTGTGATTGAACCACAACACTCAGTGGAAACTTCAAATGAAACGAGGCTTTTAAACAATCCATCCTCAAATGGAGCAGGAGGATTCTATCACCAAGAAAATAAACAAACGGAAATCGCGATGACAAATATACCACGCTTATCAGCAATCTCTCTCAGCTATGACATCAAATCGAATCAAAATCAAACCTTGGCCACTGTAAATATCCCTCAACCCCAGCAGAGTCCGTTAATGCCTTGCCCCAACACCAAGGCAGCAATTAAATTTGTACCCACTGCCCAAGAATCTCCGGTGTCATCAAGCACTGTGGGTGGCCCCAGATCCACCCCAGATCTGCAACGAGCCACAAAGGAGGCCCATAAGAAACCCGAACAAGTTGGTGCCATTTCAACCAGCAATGAAAGTCCTCGATCTTGTACACCCTCACCGGCCTCCAACATGGATGTGAATAATAGCTCAAAGCCGAATGTTTTATCGAATAGGACCACATCATCACCCATGCCCTCGCCAAGGCCACAAAGTGCGGGGAAACAATCCCAGCAACATAACAAACAACAACAGCAGTTACAACAAGTTAAGCTGCAAACTTGTCAAAAGAGTCCAGTGCGGATTGTGCGGCAAGTAAAAAGTGCTAATCAAATACAAGTGTCCCAACAACAACAGCAGCAACAAAGAATTTTCAATAGCAACAATAATCGTGCCACCCTTACAACGATTGCTGGCAATCGTGGAATGGCTACAACAACTACAAGCACCGCATCTGCGGCTGGACAACGAAATGTTGTCACTAATCCCACAACGCCTGTCATGGCCCAAAGATTACACACCACAATGCAAAAGTTTGCCACCAACAACAATAACAATAACAACAACGCCTCAACAGCTAATACAACCAACAGCACCACAACGACCATACCTCTTGGTCAATTGCAGCTACAACCTTTGCTGCGAACCGCAAACGACAATGGCGGAAACTCACAAATTATTATGACATCGACAGGGCAAATTATTGTTATGCCCTCCTCATCGAATAACAAGACACATTTGCAAACTGTAGCCCAACAACAACCACAGCAACAAACGACACACCACCACCAACAACAACAAGTGATAATTGCCAGTGGCAATGCGACTGGTGCGCCTTCACAAACTCCAACACCAACTACCAATTTAATTATTCAACAAAGCGGCGATGTTCTAAACAATGCCGGACAATTAACGGCCACGTTACAGCAGCAACCAAATGGTAGCTACATTGTTAGCCAGCCAGCTGCAGCAACGGCGGCAAACAATGGCGCCCAACTACAACCCACAACGGTTATTCTCAATCCAGGACAAAATATTTTGGCAGGCAATGCGGCCAAAGTGTTAACGGCCACCGCCAATCCGTCGACAAACATAATTCATGCCACCGGAACCCAATCCATTCTAACAGCCGGAAATCAATTGATCACAGCTCAAACGGCCGGAAATGCCACCAATGTTTTGGGACAACAAACAGTTGTGCTAAATCCTCTACCAAATGGCGGCTATGTCATACAACCACAACAAACCCAAACAGCGGCACCGGCGGCACAACCAACCCAACAATTCGCCACCTTGGACGGTCAGGTTGTCTCTCAGATTCTGCAACAACCTGATGGTACTCAGCGTATTATTATATCCTCTCCGGCGGATCTTAAGAGACGTCCCAAGAAACGTAAAAATTCCCCCACACCCACTCAAATTTCCAATCAAACAGCTACTATCATACAACCCCACACGTTGAACATACAAACGGCTGCAGCTGCCCAACAACATGCTGCACCACAACCTCAAGTTGTACAACTTACTGCGGCAACACCAGCCCCCGCCACAGCTCCAACGGCCAATCCCTTTCCCCAACAATTCCAACTAGGCTCCACCGGCCTGCAAGGCATTGTGGTGAGTAAACCTGCAACTGCCACCACCAACACGCCTCAGCCCCAACAGATCATACTACAAAATGGTCAAATCATACAACCCATGAATCTAATAGGTCAACAGTTGATCTTGCCCACAACTGGTTTAGTAATGGGACCCGACTCCACTCTTCTGCAAATACAAAATGTCAATGGCTGTGCTCCCACGGCCAATATTCTAACGGCGGCAGCACCACAAGCCACAACAACCATGATGTTGCGTGCCACTTCTCCGCAAACCAGTAAATCGTTCATCTCCTCAACGGCTACTGGACAACAGTTTATTGTGGGCAGTAATGGCCAACTAAGCCCCATTGGACAAATCTACAGCACACCAATGGGTCTGATGATGCCGGCGACAACGCAACACCATACAACAACACCAACAGCTACCTTTGTACAACACAATGGTACAACTATACAACTGCATCACCACCATCATCAGCAACAGCAGCACCATCCTCATCCACAACAACATCATCATCAGCATCCTGCTACGGCTCATCAATTGAATGCCACCACAACCACTACCCAACATCAGGTTACATTGCAGGCACTGCAGGCAACGACGCATCAACAGAATTTAAATCATGTCATCAATAATCCAGTGGGTATTGTTTTGGAAACGGCTGCCTCTTCGACAACATCACCCAATATGCAAACATCTAGCTCACGTTCATCGGCCGGCAGTCCACCCGATACGACAACGCATAGTCCAAGGAGTCCAGAAAGGCCACCAAGTCATCGTAGCGGTGGCAGTGATATGGTGAGTTGAAGGAGGGAGGGGGCAAGGTTGTCTTGTGAAAATGTCTTACTAATATTGTGATTTTCGTTTCTCGTCTAGGTTCAATGCGTGTCATCGTCAGAACCCGATGGTGGTAATGTTTCACCCATGAGCAGCGATAGTCGACAATCGCCATCGACAACGGTATGCGACAAAGGTAAGTTGAGAGAGAGGATATTAAAAATTTAAAGTACAGTGAAAATTATTTTTTGACTAAGTTTTGGAGGGCTTTAAAAATATTATGTTATGGACTTGTAATCGTGATATGCCTAAGACCTTCAACAATCTGATGTGGTACTTATATATATGGGAGATATAAAAACATTGTTCCATTATTAAAATGTTCTGCCAAAAATCAGTTCTATCAGGAAACCGGAATCGCAATAATCACTACGTGCGGAAAATACTCGCAGAACCTTGAATAAAATGAATGGGTCAGAAACTTATATAGGGGCTTCCCAAACCCCAAATTACAGCCACATCGGTTGGAAAATGAGCCTAGAACCATCAACATTTAGAAAGTGAGGCAGAGCCTTTATTTTAGGTCTAGTCAAAATATGGTCCGATATTGTATTGTACAGACAGACAGAGAACCCACTACACATCCACTTTGTTTGTAAACGCGCCTCGACCGATAGAAATAAACTAAACTGGGACGAGTCCTTTATAAGGCGATACCGGATTAGTGCAGACTAGTAATCGTTATATACCCATTCAGATAAGTACATCGGAAGCACCCCGGTATTCTATTAACTAACATAGATATCAACGCATGAGTACAACACAAAATAAGACTGACAGGAGATAGCGGTACCTAGAGGAAATAGCAACACAAAATAAGCAGGGACACCAACCAGCGGAGGAGGAACATTTCTCTGAAGTTGGTTTTCTAAATTCTATCAGAGTTGGGTAGAATTGCTCCTAGAATCTTGAATATACTGAAATGCACATTACCCTTATATAGGGTATATGTCAAACTCCAAATTACAGCAACATCAGTTAGAAAATGAGCCTAAGACCATCAACATGTAGAAAGAATCAACATATGAGACGACGCCTTTATCAGAGTATATGCGGGTTATGCAGCGGATATTACGTCAGACTACTATTCTTTATATACCCATTCAGATAAAATGCATCCGAAGCACCCCTGCATTCTAATAACTTGAATAGACATCAACACATGATGTTAACTCAAACCAAGACTGACTGGAGATAGCGAAACCTAGTGGAAAATAGCAACACAGAATTAGCGGTGACCCTAACCATTGCATTAAAAGTTGGCGGTTCGAATCCCAGCGGAGGAGGAACATGTCTCTGGTTTGTTAAAAGAGGCTTTTATACCTCTTCAGATAATATGCATCCGAAGCACCCCGGCATTCTAATACAAGGAACAGGGTATAGCACCATCTAGTGAAAAATAATAACACTAAATAAGCAAAGACTCGACCACTGTACAAAATTCAAGGTGGCGTTATTTCTAGGCAACGATAGATGGCAGCCTCATCACCAAATTTCCAAAAGGTATATGCTTAATATTGCGATCTCTCAATTTCAAGCGACAGGCGGACATGCCCATACTGATATACACTTTTTGGGTCTCCGACGAATACTTCGAGGTATTGAAAACGGAATAACAATATGAATGCCAACTTTGGTGGAGGATGGAAAAAATTAACCATTAATTCTGTGTCACAGTTCCAATACAGGGTTTTAGACGCTTCAAAGACATCATATGGCGAGGAAAATCCTAGACCATTGAGAGTCAAGTCAATGTTGTACGGTGGATTATGTCAGACTTCTAATCTGTATATACCCAACTAATAAGACAGACTGGAGATTGCGATACCTAGAGGAAAATAGCAACATAAAATAAGCGGGGGCCCTAACCATTGCACTACAAACCGGTGGATCCCGGGCTCGAATCCTAGCGGAGTAGGAATATTTCTCTGAAGTTGGGTTTCGAATATTTATTAAAAGAGGCCTCTATACATCTTTAGATATAATACATCCGAAGCACCCCGGGATTTATTTACCCATATATACCCAGTAGAAAGTGTCTTGCAGACAACATTAACGAATCGTGTAAGACAATGGCAAATCCTTGAAGACACTTTGCAGACAACAATGTGAAATCGTTGACGAAATTTTCACACAAGTGTCGCAGTATTCATCCACGACAACTTGGGCGACAGGTTAAACGAAGTTGTCGTTGACGATAACTTTGGCGACTAATCTCCCTACTTTTCGTTAACGACAGATTCACTTCCTGTCGTTTACACATTCATTGATGACTGTATACCTATTGTCATCAATCTTGTCGTCAATCAAACCCTATTTAAAATTCAAATCAAAATATATATACATATTTTTCATTTATATTTTGTTTTTATAGCATGCAATTTATTAACATACATTATATTTACATAATATCATATAATATAAATAAGCACATTGCCTGAGAAGCTGGCGTAATGATTATCTCCATTTTAACATCATCTGTAAAGAAACAACAAAATTAAAATGCATTGGAATATGAAACATCTTTCATATATAACTTACTGGGTACTTTTTGGGTCTCCGACAAATTCTTCGAAAGCCAACTTTTGGTAGAGGAGTGGAAAAATTAACCAATAATTCTGTATCGCAGCTCCAATACAAGGTTTTTAGACAATATAACTTCTATCAAGGAAAATCATCCTAGTAGATTACCTACCAATTTCACGTTTTGATTTGAGCTGATGTAATAGAGCTCGCATTGTCTTGGTTCCTTTTTCGAATTTCTTCGAAGACTTCATTATAAGAAGGGTATAATAATATGAGACATATTTACACCAGTTCCCCATTCCTATGATCATTGTCTCATCAAGATTCCATATAAATCGCCGTTACCAGAAAAAAATTTCTCCACAATGCTTAGCCACTCAACTTTGAAATCCTCGATTTCACGCAGTCTTCTTTGTATTCCATTAAATTTTTATCCTGGGCGGATATCATATAGAAATGGTTACAAATTTCACAATACACAAGCGACTTCCTTCCTGCGCGTTAGCACTTCACTTTATGTTGCGATTTCATGTTTTTTTCCTTGTTTGTGAGGAAGACATACTAAGGAACTTTGCTGGAAGTGTGAGTGTCACAAATTGCAAACCCTATTATTTGCAGACCATCAACCTCAGTCCCACTCTCTATCTACTTACAAAAATTACTGTATTATGCCAAACGGAAGAAAACGCCGAATAGACAATAAAGAATGTAAAAAAATATGGAACACTTTAAGCATTTGATTGTTGTTGTAGTTGTTTTAGTTGTGTATTGGATGGCATTGAATAAACGTCAATGGTGCAGAACATTAGATTATGCTGTTATTTACTATGGCAGACATTGTGGGTGGGGGTTTTCTTTTTTTTCTTAGAGCGATTTTTTTGTTTTCTTTTAAGGGATGTATCATTGTAATGTTGCTAATAAATGTATGTATTTATTTTGTGTATAAATATGGTTATTTATGATGCCAATAAAATCTGAAGGTATTCGAAGAGAAATAAGTACCTCGAATGGCGGATGAGTATACTAAAATACGATAAAATGATTTTTTATACTTTCTAGAAAAAATCGATCCGATTGATTTTTTTAAGTCATTCCGTTTGTAACTCCTCGAAATATTCATTTATGCCCCTGTAAAGAATATCAATTCTTGTCAGTCGGTTTTATCATGTTATAAGGTGCTGAAATTTTTGAAATAAATATATTTGGTTTACAGGCACATCAAGTTTGAATGTAGGAAACATCGGTTCAGGTCTGGGATTTTTGTGTTCAGATGTATGTGTATGATATATGGATCCAGATGTAAAGGTGGAAGGGGTGTCCAGCGGCTGTACCTATATGTCCTATTTAAAGAAAACGAAAGGATAACATGTTCGGTTATTGGCAGTTTTAATTGTTTTACCATTTTTTCTTTTCATATTTGCCAAAATATATCTCAGATATTAGTCAGACACGATCATTGAATATTTCCGAACTTGGCAAAGTTCATTTGAAATTATATTTTTTTATTAATGACCATTAAATAGGTACCATTTTGCTCCTCATCAGAATGGAATTATATGTTGATTTAGCCATATCCGTCCGTCAGGCTGTTTACTGACTATAAAAATGGCTGTAATTGGACATTTGGAAGTTTATAAACGTATATGCAAAATATGTTAAATATAAGTCCATATAATAACCTAACCCTCATATAAATGTCCCGTTCCTTCTGCGGTTTTTGGATTTTTAGCATCTTATATATTTATGACATAGGTACACGTTTGGATATAACACAGATATAAAAGTCCCGCCCATATTCGTTTTATTGAAAGTTCTTATTCCCATCGAATTTGCAAAAAATTTGGCAGTGCTGGGTCTTGAGAAAGTTCAAACCTTGTTTTATAAATACCTTGTCCCTTTTTTAGTATTTTTAAGGGTAAAGCCGTATATTCCCACCGAATTGGATGTAATTTGGAATTCTCCATTCCTAGGAATTCAAAATATGTTCTCAGAATGCTTATACCCTCCATCATAATGTGGAGTATAAATTAAATTTGTCATTCCGTTCGCAACATCACCAAAATATTCACCGGAGACCACATGAAGTATGATCATAATAAAATTCTGTCTCGATTTATGTCTGTCTGTTCTTGTTCGTCGGTTCAAATCACGATAGATCTTTCAAATTTTATATATCAGTCCACGTTTTGATATAGACCCTGAATATTCGGTAATTTGAGGATTTTGACGCGTTTTCCAAAGGAATTTCCTATAATTTGGTACTTTGAGTTTCCATTAGATAACAAATCTCCCCACCAATACTCAATATCAGTCCACTTTGTATGAAAGCTCCCATATAATGGTACTCCCAAATATTCGGTAGGTTGAGGAGTTTGGGTACGAGTTTTTACCCAATTGCCTGTAGCACCAAGTGCATAGAGTTTCCATTGCGATAGGACAGTCCCCATATAACGGATTATATGGTATTGTTTGTCATATCATAGCCCGTCATTTATGTTAAAAATCCACCTCTAATGCATAGAATAAGAAGTTCGGCACGCCCGAATTTAACAATTTGTTTAAAATACATGCATAATTAATTTTAAAAATTTTCTAGCTCAGATTTCCAACTGGTATTTAATTTTCTCAAACCATAAACCCCCTACCATCAAACAGTTTAGAAATACTTAGCCATAATTTTTTAAGTCAAATCCTTAACATCTCCACAATCTCCATTTCAAATTGTTGATTACCGTTAAAGACAATTGACATTCCATTGGGTATCAGCCATCAAAATATGTTCACTTCAACTGCCATCTAAATATGCCTGATGCTCTTATAGCAATCCCTGGTATTATTATCAGTTTAATACTGCGTTCATTGTTTAATATCAAAGGGAATACCATTTGGGGATTTGTTTATGCCATGGTAACACCATGCTATAATATTGACTCGATTGTGATTTATAAGAAAAAAATATATTTTTTATTATTTCGAATTTCTTATTTCGATCTATTTTATCTCTCACATTTTTTTATTTCTACATTCTTTCCCCAATTCAGGTATTGTTATGTCAACCGCATATCAACAAAATGCCAGTATTTTTAAGCCCTCGGAGGCGAAGATACGCCGCGTACAAACACCACCACAATATCATGTGATTGCAGCAGCACCACCACCTGGAGGTGGGGTTACGGGTGCCACAACAACTGTAACAGCCAGTACAACAAATATTGCGGGTCTAACGAATTTGACGCTACACCAACACACGACGACAACAACAACAACTAATAATAATTCACAGACATTACAACAAAAACATATGGATATAAAACCAGATACACATGGTAAGTTTCTAGTGAATCCTTGAACTGTCAGCATTTTTTGTTGGGTTTTGTTTTTCTGTTCTTATTGCAATAACTAGACGCACTAATACAAATATAACAACAATAACATCACACACATCCTTGGTCCAAACACAAACATTCTCACACACATACATACCTTAAAACATCCTTAGGGACATGAACTGAAAAAGGACGATGAGTACAACAAAGACAGCTTTGTGTAGTTGTTCTGTGTTGACAAAAATACTACTTGCATACATACATACTTCATAACGACATTTACTTACTGTCTTACATTAATATGAGAAGATAAATGACAATTTTGACTAAAACATATGATATTGAGACATTAGAAAAATGAGTCATTTTATTTGAAAATTACAAATAAAATATATAATTCGAACGCAAGAAATATATAGTATGTAAAATTCTTAAATGCTTAAAAAATTCAAATAAAATGACTCATATTGTTTTTTGAAACCTTGTCCATAAATTCCCTACCCCCACCCGTCTTACATACATATATTAAGCATATATTGACTTTTGTATTTTTGTTATATATTTTTATCTATATATTGTCTAAACATACTTACATATCTACTTATATACCTAACCGAATTTCATTCACGAGTCCTTTGGAATTTATGTTGTATTTTTCTGAATCATCGCATTGCCATCTACACATCCCACACACTAATATTCATCTACGCTACGAATGGTATGGGATATATAAATTTAATACAACGAACAAAATAGAAATTATCTTGTAAGCTAAATACATATTTTTGTTGTTGTTTTCCTACACCTGTCTATTATCCTTAAATAATTCCCTTTTATTTTTATTCACTTATTTATGTTATTTTAATATACAATTTCGAAATATTTAAAGGACATTCAAAGGATGTTTTAGAACTGTTTCATTAGGTTTCTTTTTTAGGTAATGTTTATACCCTACACAACTATGTTGTCAGGTATTATAGCTTTGTGCAGCCCTCACCTAGACTCACCTTTAAGTATACCGACCGTCATATCTCGACTAGCTGAGTCGATCTAGACATGTGTGTCCGTCCGTCCGTCTGTCCATTATAATTTGTAAACACGATACAGGCCACAATTATGGACCAATCTTCACGAAATTTTGCATGTAGGATGGGTTCTGGCCAATGAAGACCCCTATTGTTTTTGGGGAATATCGGTTAATATTTAGGGGATGAAATGGACCAAATACTAAGTTTTTGTCGGTTTTTCTGGTCGCTCCAGAAGCCGCAATAATGGCCCGAACATCGCGAAATTTTGCATGGAGAAGGGGATCGGGCCAAAGAATAAGCATGCCTGTTTTGATAAGGATTGGTCAATATTTAGCGGTTCAAATGGACCCTGACTTTTGTGTGAAAAATTACAAAAATTTGCATTCTATGGCGTATATATTTGCCCCTGAAGGACATTGATCAAAGAAGTTGATAGTATATCCAAGAGGAGTGGTTGACCTTTAAATTGATACCAATTATATTATCGTATGTACTCGGATGAGAGAGTTACATTTAAATACGTACGTATTCAGATATTATTTAGTAACCCATTACCACACTGGAGGGCGGAAATAAAGCGTTGGTCGCTTTGAACTGTTCCATGAGGTTCCAGTTATGGTCAAGGACAATGCCCATAAAACTTAATACCCGAAAACTTAATTTTTTGTGTTTTTTCGAGTCGGTCTGTATGCCACAATTGTAAGCTGAACATCACAAGGGAATCTGGACAAGTAATAAGAAGTACTGTATTGAATATTAGTAATATTTGTTGCCCTCTAGTCGATCAAGAGGGTGCAAATATCGCGAAATATTGTCCAGGCTCAGATAATAGAACCGCAGAAAGTTAGATGTTCGTGGTAGTTGTGTAGGGTATCATATGGTCGGCCCCGTCCAACTATACTGCTCCGCTCACTGGTTTTATAGATGTAGCTAACCGTTGAGTTTTAATACCCTTCACCACACTGTGGTGCAGGGTATTATGTCATTGTGCATATTTTTGTAACAGGCAAAAGGAATCGAGATGGATCCATGGTTCCTTTTGAGAATATACATAGAATCACTTTCTGAGTCGATTTATGCTTGTCCGTCCGTCTGTAGATGTTAAATTGTAAACAAAGTACAGGTCGCATTTATGATCCGATTTGGATGAATTTTGGCACAAGTCACTTATTTGGCCTAATTACGAACCCTATTGAAATTGAAGAAAATCGGTTCAGATTTAGGTATAGCTCCCATATATTGTTTCGCCCGATTTAAGATTAATGGGACACCAAAGTTCCTATATATCGTTCGATTTGCACGAAAATGAATGAATTAGGTCCAGAATGATATATGCTGTGTTTCGTGAAAATCGGTTAAGATTTAGATATAGCTCCCATCAGGGACGTACGCAGTAAATTTATGTTTGCAACAGCGAATTTTTTCATTTTGTACTACCGGGCCCCCCGAAATGAAATCCTGTGTACGTTGCTGGCTCCCATGTATAGTTTTGTCCGGTTCTATGTAAATGTTTCACCAACGTCCCTATATAACTCTCGATTTGCACGAAATTTTGCATAGTGTACTGAATTGAGTCAAGAATGACGTGTGTCATGTTTCGAGACAATCGGATCCGATTTAGATATAGCTTCCATATATAATTTCGACCTATTCATGTTGATTGTACACCAAATAATCAATGGGTGCCTGATTCATATTACATTGTAACAGTGAAGCATACCAAATAGCGTGTGTAAAGTTTGTTTTAAATCTATTTACAAAATGTAGAATAGGTTACTTATAGATAAAGATCGCACATTTAAGTTCGTTCAATTTCATGTCAATTTTCCTTCGAAAAGGCGACATCTGTTAGGATACATATGTAGAATATACAAAAATGGTGAAGGGTATCATTTATTCGACCTAGTCCGACTTTACTACTTTCCTTACTGGTTTTTATTTCGCGAAACTTAAATTTTTATTGGTTTTATTAAAGAAATAATATAAATTTTAAAAATATTATATTTTGAACATATTTTTAATATTTCAAGAATATTTTTATTCAGCAATTTGTTTTAGCAATTTGTTTTAATAAAAACTATTTTTAGGTATAAACATTATATCAATAAAAATTTATCTAGGATCCACACAGCCGTTTATAGTTATTGTTTATTGGCATTTGCCTTGATAAGTTTTATGGCATTTATAAGGGTCATCAATATAATAAATCATTTGAATATTCAGAGTCTAAACTAACCTAGCAGTGTTGTCTAACCTAATTGACAACAAAACTATATTTGATTTATTGCCAAACTCAATAACCAAAAACATTGACAAGCCTTATTTGTAAGTTTGACTAACACAATCACAACACCTAACAAAATGTCATTCGACATTCATCATTCATGTCACTCACAACTGGTTAAAGGTTTTTGAATTTTTGTGGATTGGGTTTTTCTTCCATGCATTCTTCCCCCTTGTTATTATTCTCTCTCATCGCTCAACCATTGTCCCTCCCTCCCAGCATTCATATTCGCATTAAAAACGTTTACAGCTTTTTCTTCTTATATTTCTCTCTAACGGCTTGACATGAGTATTTCTTTGATTTTGTTATATATTTAAAGTGTTATTTTATCATAGATTCGCCACAGAATTCTCCCACTACAACGGTTATGCTAACACCGCCACCACCACGAACCCCAACGCCCTCGCAGCAGCAAATACTACAACAGCATCAGCAGCACCAGCAATTGCAACAATACCACCAACAACAGCAGAACTTTTTACAAAACTCTTCAACGATTTCCGTTTCCGAGAATCGTCCACAACAACACCAACAGCAGCAACACAGCCATAAAACTCCAACCAAACAAACTTCTCAACGCAATCGTAATCGTTCATTGAAACCATTATCACCACTCCTAACCACTACCACCACACACACAAAGGTAGCTGGTGCTGATGCAGAGGAAGCTAGCCAGGCTACTACGGGTGGTGGTACTGCAGCAGCAGGTGGAGTTGGTGTACCCATATCACCATCTTCATCCTCAACACCACCATTGGCCATGAGTCTGATGCGTACATTTGCCGTCGGTGAATTAATATGGGGACCAGCTCGAGGTTTTCCCGCGTGGCCTGGTAAAGTGGTAAAAATTCCCGATAATCAACAGGAATCGGTATGGGTTCAATGGTTCGGTGGTGGTGGCCGTTCAAATACAGAAATAATGCCAACAAATTTGTTGCAAAGTCTATCTGAGGGTTTGGAGGCCCACCACAGGGCCCAAAAGGATACAAGAAAGTGAGCAAGTTGTTTTGTTTTATGTGTATTTTTTTATTTTTTAATTTATATTTTAATTATTAAGATATAGGCAAGACATAAGAATTGATACGAATTTTTAGGGCTTCTAGAGCTAGAAGCATAATTTATAATTACAGTAAAGTACGGTTATAGCGAACTTGTAGGGACCAGGCAAATTAGTTAGTTATAGAAGAAGTTCGTTATATCCAAGGTAAGGAATGCCCTAGTCCTAGTCTATCAGAGTTCTTCTAGGATTAGCAGATTAATTGCCTGAATTATTGACAGACTTAACGGATCATCAAAGCTCAAGCGAAGCTAGAATCTTAGTCGGAAGTTGTCAGATAATGTACCACTTGTATTTGGCGAACTAGTGGAGTTACATCTCTAAAATTTGGAATCAGTATAACTGATGGAATGGAGAATAGATGTACTAAACATTTTTTTTAATTCGAACTATAAGTATCCTTAAAGTACTAAAATGTACTAAATTTGGTACAATTTCGTAGGTGTTTTTGGAACTGTGTGCTCATGTACACAAAAAGTACTAAACAGTACTAAATTTGGTATAATTGAAATTTGGAGGAACGGATGAAGACGAATTCCTGAAATTTGAAGTTAGCGGAGTGTGGGACTGGGATATGTAATTCGTTTTAGAAATTTATACTTTTGTGTACGAAAAGTACTAAATGGTACTATATTTGGTACTATGAGATTTGTATGAACCGATAAAAGTTGAATCCTAAATTTTGGAATTAAGATTCCTGTTGGTACTTATGTGTACTAAATTTGGTACGAATTAAATGTGTTTTTTTTTGGATAGCGCTGGAATCCTGAAATTTGGAGTTGGGATAGCTTTTGACATGTGGGATTGTGGTATGTAGGAAGATTTGGGAATTTATACTAATGTGCACTAAATTTGGTACAATTTGGATTTTGGTGAACCGATAGAGCTGAAACATTGAAATTTAAAAATAAGATTACTGCTGCAGAAATGCAGAATTGAGGTATGTAGATAGTTTGAAAATTTGTACTTATGGATACTAAATGGTACTATATTTGGTACAATTTGGATTTGGGTTAACCGATAGAGCTGGAACACTGAAATTGGAGATTATATTACTACTGCATTCTGGAATGTAACTAGCTTTGGAAATGCGTACTTATGTATGTGTACTTGATGGTACTAAATTTGGTACAATTCGAATTTTGGCTGAACTGATTAAGCTGGAATACTGCAATTTGGATTTATAATTATTGTTGGATTATAGACTTGCGGTATGTAGACAGTTTTCGTACTTTTGTGTACTAAATGGTACTAAATTTGGTAGAATTTGGATTGAAAGATTTCACTAAGATTTGGATTTGGCCTATAGAGTTCGAATCATAAAATTTGGATTCAGTTTTGGAAATAAGTACTAATTGTAATAAATGGTACCAAATTTAATATATATCTAGATTTCTGTTGCCGTCAGAAATGGAGTGCAAAGGGTGTGTTAATTAAAAAAGTGTATAGGGGTTGCAGAGCGCGGATTTATTAAAAAAATATTTTTTTTAGATTTTGCAGGGTCCAATGTTATTAATGTGTCATTTTGTTCGAACTCGGTTAAGATTCATTCATTCGTCCATACTGGTTTGGATTTTATTTTTCGATTATTGTTACGATTATTAGAGCATGGTTTTTTAATAATTTAAAACATATTAATTAGCAAGTATTTTCTTTATAGCAGGGATTTGCATCGTCCTGTGTTTAGGGCGATCTATCATAGTTCTTGCAATTTTTCAGGTATTAGTATAGGTTGTTAATAGTCTTTATCAGTTATATATTATTTTTCTTTAATATTTTGATGTTTTATTTTTATTTTCTTTTTTACTTTCCCTGTGAATTCCTCCATCCCAAATAAACCAACAAAAACTATACATATATTACACACCAATTTTCCCTACAACAACAACAAATTAATAATTTCCGAAAAATACACACATACATAATTCCAAAGGAGCCGTAAATTAAATTCTCAACTTGAAAAAGCCATACAAGAAGCAATGACCGAATTGGATCGTATTTCAGCTACATCCAGTACAAATAGCAGCAACAACAACAAACAACAACCGACATCATCTACGCAACATCAAAATAGTCCAAATCGTGCAAATAAACGTCCGATACCAAGAACCGGTGGCTATGATCTAATTGCAGGCCTTGTCAGCCAAAACACATACCACAATAACACACACAATTATACATCATCCAATACAATATCAACAACAACAGGATCAACAAATCGTACTAAACCAATACGTATAGCACCGGCACCACCGCCCCCGAATAGTAGTAGCGGTTCCTCGCCAATGAAATCGACAACAACATTAGTAGGTGGAACATCATCCACTGTAACTTCGGCTAGTAGTGGTGCTTCAGCCACCGCAAATAAATGACAGCATCTTGGCAAGGAGTTGATAATCAAAACACCGACCGTTGTGGTAAGTTCAAGCTCCATAACAAATACAACAATATCGACCACAACAACCGTGAATAATGGTAATCCCCAGCTGGCATGGACCATGCAGGGTGGTTATACATTTGTTATACAAAGAACTTAAAGGTAAATAAATTAAAAAAATTAACCATATTGTTATTAATTTTTAAGTGTGTATTTATAATTTATTCTAATTCTATATATCTAACTAACTCACAGATTCTTTAGATTTACATAAGGAATTATGTATTTAAGGAATTGTTATAAGAAAATACAAAAATAAAAATTAATGTTTGAAAACATTAAAAGAAAACTACGCGAAACATATTTAGAAAGTTTCCGAAAAAACAATTGTCTTAGACCCTATGAAATTATTACTCACTTAATAAAAAAAAAACAATAGATTAAGTAAGATTGAAATAACAACAATTTGACAGTAGCTAGTGTGATTTACTTAATAAGAATAGTGAATGGTAAAATTTGATATCCAAATGAATGAATGCAAATAAATTGTTAATTTTTTTGGTATTCAGTATTTTTCATAGTTTTTGAATAATTTACATACAGTTGCGGTGAAAATAATAGCAGCACTCCATATCATCAATAGTTTAAATATGAAGGAACATGCTATTGTCGGGTGTGTCCAAAATATTTTTAATTTGTTGGTACTTGGCCCCAACATTATGTTAGATGTCCACATAACAAAAATTATAATCCCTAAAACAAATGGTTTCTGGGCGTGTTTCGTACTTCGGAGTTGGACCATTATTTTGGATTGAAAATACGATGCATACGACTCAAATTCTGCAAAATATTTATTATGCTTTCATGCACAGAATAGGAAAAAACCTCTAAAATTAACATTAAAACATTGAGACACCTCGAAATCATGGTTTTGGGACAGCATATTCGAAAATCATTAAATAGTTCGGAAAAGTCGACGCATGATCTGTTTGCCGATTTTCCACATGAATAACTTTTGGGGAATTTTACCGTTTTCGATGACACACATTCTATTGCAGGTTTGTTTCGGGTTCATATGAGTAGGTACATGATTTATCACACAAATTTTTCAAAATTTCTTTATACTCATTGGCGGGAGCCTTTTTTGCGCGTTTGTCAAGTTGTGTGAGATTCAACGAGAACTAACCTTTTTATGGTCATTTATTAATGCAATATAACATGTAAGCCACGGACGTACACAGCGGCGTTGGGCTTAGTTAATGGAGTAAGAGCGATTAGCGTGTGTTGGTGTAAATATAATGAAAATAGAAGAAATATCAAAGAAAATATCAGAGGCCTGTTAGTGCTAACGCGTAGACGTTAGCTCGACAGGAGTTAATAAGCAGAGGTTCACGTAGATCGCAGAGGATCGTTGGGATCTTAAAGATCTTCGTATTTGTGCATCTACAACTACACATATTCCAGTGAGAGAGTGTCAAGCAAGGAGAGCAAACCTACAGCAACCGTTGCCTATTGGTATATACGCTCTGTGGTGTCCACAGAGGGAACGTTCAAAGGCAATACCCGAGCTTTTAATCAGCATCCGTAATCGACTAGGCTTGGGCCAACGCATCAAACTTATACAGTAACATAAAAAAATCGGTCATATTTGATAAAATCAAATACGTTTCTAAATTCACCTTAAATAGCAGTGAAATAATCACGAAATTAGCTGCCTCCATTGCCCAGAAATAACCATTTAAAGTTTACCCATTTAAAGTAATAACTGCTACTCAATTCTGCGCTCCTAAATTTTAAGGGCAACTTTTCGGCAATCGAATTTTTACCACAATTAATTTGAGGTACCAGACGACCACTAATGCGTAGCAGCTATTACTTAACCCATCCCTTGCCGAGAAATAAATATTTAAAGTTTGCTGTGAATCTTCGTATAGCTGCTACACAATGCTGGTCGCCTATTAGCTGCCTACTGAAGAAAATTTACTTACATCTCTTAAAATCTGACTTTTTAAGAAAATTTTGCGACAATTGAAATTTCATTAAAATCACTTTGAGGTACCAGGCGACCAGTAATGTGTAGCAGCTATCATCCGACACAAGGTAAAATTCAAAACGTATATCTCCGCAACGAATGGAGCTATTTTCATGAAAATAGCGTTATTAGTTAGATGGAATTTTCTAGTTTTCCCTTGAGCCAATTCGAAATGAATTCCTCTAATGTACCTATGAAAATAACCACTAATGTTTAATAAATTTAATGAAGTAGGCAATAAAAATTCAGAAATGTTACGACTTAACCTTAACTAGCAGTGAGAAAATCATGAAATTATCTGCATCTATTGCAGAGAAATGACCATTTAATGTTGCCTTAAATCATCATATAGCTGCTACACAATTCTGCGTTCGTTAAATTTAATTTGCAGGCAACTTTGCTGCCATCAAAATTTCATCAAAATCACGTTGAGGTACCAGGCGACCTGTAAAGGTGTAGCAGCTATAATTTAACACAAGGTTAAATTCAAATACATATAACTCTGCAACGAGTGGGCTTATTTTTATGAAACTTTCGTTATTAGTTAAAAGGATTTTCTCTTTCTTCTCCGGTCATGTTCCGAGTTTGTTCTGAGAGTCAATTTCATCCAACTTACCATTAATAATAGCTATCCATGTCTTCGGTAAGACAACATCGCGTAAGGATATTCTCTCGGACAAATAAATGCATACGACGTTTAAGTCTTCGAGTATAGCATCAATACATCGAAAGTTTGTTTCCGAAGAACTCTACGATAAATTTGACTTTGACTCCATTACGATTCACGTTCTGCGTTTTTTTCGATGCTAACCCAACAAATTTTCAAAAATACAAAATATTCGTTTATAGTGGATTATGTGGAACTCGAGGTGGTTTTTTCAATAATTAAAATCGAATTTCAGTCTTCCGAGCAGTTTCTTGATAGGTTAGGATGAGACATAGGGTATCAGCAATGTCACACGCATTTACTTTTGGTCTGTTCCAGTACTTTTTTTAATAGTAAATCTAGTAAAAGGGAAACATTTCAAAATTGCTCTCAGAGTACAAAATAATTTGAAAAGTTCGGGAACGCAAATCTAGTAAATATGCCAAATTAGATGGCAATACTTCAAAATCAACATAACTGCCAATCAGAAGTAGGCATTCCTGTTTACCATTTTTACTCGACCAAATTTCTCGAGTAAAAAGTTTACAAAGAGAAGGTCATTTGTGGGTTGAGGAACGGTTTTCGAGTAACAAGTTGCAAAACATGTAAAATGAGTAGAATCTTTTAGGTTCTGGAACGGAACTTTTATTACCGAGCAAATTCATATCTATGTTTTTCGACATTTTCGGCTTTACTGACTGATTTGGGCCATATATCTATGGGTGAAAACCCATAGATATTATCATATAATATGGTCAAGAGTTAAACTATGATAACACTGAATATTAACAAATTAAATAAAAAAGGGAAATGTAATGAAATGTAAAAAATAGGTAAATGGGCAATAACTTTACTCAGCAAAAAAAATAAATAAATTACAATATATAAAATCCTAATCTAAAAAAATGTTTAAATTGAAAAGAAAAAATCGGACAAAAAATATTTTACAATATTTCCCTTACGCATTTTACCTTTTGTTCTAATCACCAATATTGCTAAGTAGTGTAAAGCTACATTTCAATCTTATGTATGCTAAAGAATTTTTTACAACAAAAAATATTATACCAAGCAAACGGAAATTTTATATAAAATTTTATTTGCAAAAACATTTCACAACCAACAGCAGCCAACACAACAACAAAAAACCGAAAATAGACAATAAAGCTAAATTTTAATAGGAAAAAAGAATGAATGAAGCATATATTTTTTGAAATAGAAAAGGCAAATATTTACACCAAAACCTGCAAAATATGTTTAAAAGTTATTGAAAAAATATTTTTCTTATTAAATAATTAAAAGGAAAACAAAAAATATAAAATATATATTTTTAGAGCTAATGAAAATAATAAAAAAAATATTCCCCTCCAAAATATAGAAGTAAGAACAGAACAATTTTAAGCTTTTTTGTAAATATAAATGTTGATTATTTTGCATTTTTTCTATTTATAAACATTTTTCATTTAATTTAGATTTAGGAGTAATAAAATATTTCTAATTTAATTAATTTAAAAAAAGGAGGGAAACCTTTGATCAAAAAATAATACCTTTTTCAATGAAAATTAAATCTTTATCTCTAATTTTCAATTTCTAAATGTTTGTACAAATTTAGACTTTCAAAAAAAAAAAATAATAAAAAAAAATAAAACTCATAATAAGAAAACCTACTTAAAAAGTTATGTTGAAAACATGAATCTGTCGCAAGACTTAAATCAAAAATAGTTTAAAAACGTATATTAAAAAAAAAAACAAAACGATAATAAAATTAATTATTAAGAAATTGAAAAAAAAAACATTTGTTAGTTTTTAAGCTCCGAATTTGTTATTGGATTTTATTTAAAACAAAAACTCACACAGACACAAAAAATCTGAGGTCATTGGACCCCATATTTAAAAATGTTAAAAAAAAAACAATTATATGCAAAAAATATATACTGTAATTTTAAGTTTTCATAAAATTATATACATTACCAATTTGTTGATCATGTTTCATTACTTTATTTTATATATATATATATATATATATATATATTCAATGTGTTGTTTTTAATTTATATATAAATTTTGTTTTTTTTTTTAATTTTCATATTTATTCATTGATGGCTAACACACACACTTTATATGAATTTATTAATTTTAATTTACAATTGTTTGTTATTATTTATTTAGTTATTGTTTTTTTCAATTAATGAGACAAAAACTGAGAACGAAATAGATAATCAATTTTGTTTTTTTATTTTATTTAATAGAAAATAAATCCATACTTTTTGTCTCATGTTATATTTGTCTGCATATGTATATTAAACAAAAAAAATTATTA